AGCCCTCCTTCCTGAGCTAAGACAAAAATGCGTGAGCCAGAGGCTAAAAAACTGTGATCTAGCTCACACTAACTCAGCTTAGAGGGAACACTGGTCTAGAGCCGCCTGCATGGCACAGCACCATTGTCTCCATAGATCATCACAGCTTTAATGATGCCAGAAATTCCGACTAAGTCTTCTGGGGTGGCAGAGATGGACAGGAGGGCGTAAACTGCATAGGGAAGCCAGGTAGCCATTCTGGTGCCAATGATATAATCAGTATGCAACATGAAGCAGCAGAAGAAATTTGACTTTAGGTTAACACACCAAATAGAATCCAGAAAACATCTGAAAAAATAATCCAGTACCTCTGGATTATTTGCAAACTGGAAAGGTTTGCCCATCTCTAGGGATAATTTGTACAAAACCCAACACCAACTTGAAAGCTATAGATGGCTGAAAGAATAGTAAACCAATATTAGTTTGAATTAAACACCAGTTTTTGAGCCTTATATATCAACTAAGCTGATGGCTTCAACATCTCTTTTGTGTTCCATTTCTGAAACTCTCCTGGTGCTTCTTGCTTCATTGCTTAGGTCCCAGAATGTATAATTTCAGAAGATAACTGCAGCAAAACATCTGGTATGTTTAATGTGCCAGAATCAATCATTCTGCAGAATCATAACCATATTATGACATACTAGAGGGTTTTTAATTCAAGAGAGAAAAAACGAAACATAGAGCCAAACATTTAATAGCTCGTTAATGTGGTCTATAGAGACCTACTATATTTATTTATTTATTTCCAAGAGTGATATTTCCTTTTTCCATTTCATCTTTATTAGACAAAGCCAAGACATATGATTACATTCCAAACTGTCTTCTGCTTACAGAAGGAGTCTTCTGTTCTCCAAGTCTTCCACTTCAGTGAATGGAAGGCATTCTGTGAGCAGAATGGCCTTTTGTGAGCAGAAGGCCTTTTGTGAGCAGAAGGAAACCTTTAGTTTGGATCCAGCCAAAACAATTAATAAAAAAATCTGCATGACTTCCACATGAGGGCATAGACTGTCCTACCACATACTGAGTTTTGTGTCCTGCTTTCCCCCAGTACCAAAACTGCTGACTGGGAAGTTACATATCTACAGGAAACAGGAAGAAATAAGCTTGGCTATTGTTGAGGAAGACCAAGCAGGCAGGTAAACTCTTCTTGCTTTGTATCAGAGGAACAAATATGGCTGTCTATGAAAAAATAAAGTCCTCAAAGTACACTTATTTGGTTCTATTGTAGCCTTCTGTTTCAAAGGTATTAAGAATGAATATTGATTTGGGGAAGTGAATACAAGACCCCGGTTTACAGAGCTGAAATGAATTACAGTACCTTGAATGTCATCTCGCAGACGTGAGAGAGAGAGTGAAGGAGTAACATTTGAGAAAATCTTGTCCCCTCAACTGCTTCCCCAAGGGTTGCCATCCTCCAGGTGGGGCCTGGAGGTCTCCCAATACTGCAACTGATCTTCAGATGACAGAGATCAGTTCTCCTGGAGAAAATGGCTGCTTTGGGGGGGTGGACTCTGTGGCATTACACCCTCCCCTCTTTAAATCTTACCCTCCCCCAGCTCCAGCCCCAAATTTCCAGGAATTTTCCAATCTGCAGCTGGCAACCCTAGTCCCCTCCAACCAAGAGGCATGCATCCAAGCTTCCCTAGATCAGCCAGAGGTACAGAGGAACGCCATTGTTACTGTCAAAGCAGAGAACCATGATCAGACAAAATGTAATCTAATGTAATCTAATGTAATCAGGGCTTTTTTTTTTTTAAAAAGCCCAGCAGGAACTCATTAGCATAATAGGCTACACCCAACAGCAGAAACTCATTAGCATATTAGGCCACACCCCATGCCTTCCCTTGGCTTGCCCGGGCACCCCACGGCTGGGGGGAGCCCGGGCAAGCTGGCCCTTGGACAGGCTGCGGAAGGCACAGGGAGATTGCTCTCCAGGCCTTCCCTCTGTAGCCACACACGCAGAGGTTTTGGCTGTAGTGGGCGTGGCCAACTCTGAAGCCAGCCAGAACTCCGTTCCTGTGCGTTCCTACCCAAAAATAGCCCTGAATGTAATTGTAAGGTAGTAGTGTGATTTCCATGCAAATTCTGGCACACCTCAAACAAGGATCCTAATTGTGACTCTCCAGGCCATGATAAACAACCAAAGTTTGCTGGACAATTACCTGGAATTCCATGCCACTCTCAAATATCCCTCACAATGGCCCCGGTCACACGAAGTATTAGCCACGCTAGAGAGACGGAAGATAGGCGGATTTTCCAGGCGCGATCTCACCGCCACATCTGGGAAGCGTAGAGCTCCCGTGGCTCAACCGAGGCTTCCCGCCGAAGATGCACGGCAAAAAACTAATACCTCGGAGGTACTAGTTTCCGGAAACCGCAGGGCAAGGGCGGGCGTCTGATCGTGTTTCCGGTGGCATCCGCATCCGCCCATGCCCCATTGCGAAAAGGTTTTTTTTTCTTTTCAAAGTCTCCAGGGATGCGCACAAGCACCCAACGGGGCATGCGCATACTTCAGGTTAAAAAAAACAAAACACAACCCCGTTTGCCGTGCCGCGCCGCTTCTTTGGCACGTCGTGTGATCGGCACTTCCCCCCTAACCACGGGACCTAGACAGGACCATGAGGGGACACCTGATCGAGCAGTTGCGCGTTATTTCGCTGCGGGGCAAACAGCCACACCCCACACACCCCCACGATATCTGGCCAGTGTGACCGAGGCCTAAGTAGGCTTCAATGCAAAACTAATCAAAACTCAGTCAACCACTCAAACTTCCAGAGGCTGGACATCAGACAGCTTGATTGTCCTACAAGGATACCAGTCCCTTCCATTTCCAGGTGAACTTTAGTCATTTCACAAGGGACTCTGAACAATGGCATTAGATGCACCAGTGTCCGAGGTGATTCCAGATATCTCCATGATGCAATCACTTTGCACTAATCAAAGAAACACGTAGAAAGGAGAATCCCTGAGCACCACAATTTTGAATTGGTTTTGTTTCCTGGACCTTCTTCCACTAACACAGAAACTGGTTTCCCTCTCCAAACCATCTTCAACTATGGACATGAAACCACAAGATGCCTTCTTCAGTACTGGCAAAATATGACCTAATTTCTCTCATTTCCCTTCCTTCCTGGAAGTTTACCTTCATTTCTTATTTTCCCTCCCCTCCCACCATACCTCCAGCTCCCTATAGCCTCCCCATTCTTCCCTATTTGGCTGGGGTTCCTCCCCTCTTTTCTCACCTTCCTTGCCCATCTACTCTCTGCATTTTTGCCTCTCTTCAATGAGAACCTCACACACTTTCTCTCCTCCCCTGGTGGTTTTTCCCCAGACCAACACATTATTTGGGAAATTAATTGCAAGTGGACACCAAGATTTTACTAAATGAACATCTTTATTGGGTTGCTACAAATAAACTGCTATTGTATTTTATTAATGAAGCACCTAGAAACTGCTGTTGTATTGTACAGCTTAAGAAGGGGCCTGTATTCAATAGCTATAGTTCCCCTTTTCTTTGTTACTCTGTACCTCTGGATCTGGATCTTGGCTAGGACAATGAAGTTACCCTTTGGTTAAGTATCTGCCTTGCTCTCCTTTCCTTCCTTGGAGTTCTGGCAAGCCTTATCAAGTTTGTTGTATACAAGTTTTCAAGGCTCCCTGGGAACCGGTGTCTAGGAACGACATGTGTGAAAACAGTCATGTAGGCATAACCTGACATCAGTTTCCTTTCAGTTACACTCTTCGTGCATTTGTCTCTACGAATGCAGAGTTCTAGATTCTCATTCTTCTGCTAGGGCCTTTCTTGATGAAGGTTGTCTGTACTGACCAGGTTATGTTTGCTGGGGTGCACTTCAACAAAGGAAACTTCTGTCATCAGGTTGGAACACCACAGGTCCCAGTTATTGAAGCTACCAGTAGCTGGAAGCTGGAAGTTGAGAGTGAGACTGATTTTAATGGGCTGAGAGTGGAATAACTCTGCCTATGATTGCACTGTTTGTGTTCTGCAAGTTCCCCCAAGATGCTGCATTATTTTCTTTGCTGCTTTTCTTTGCTAAAGCTTCAGTTGTTGCATAGGGAAAAATAAGTCGATAAAGTTGTAAAATGGGGAGATTCTCCTGAAATGCCAAGGTGAAGCCAGTTGTACATACAAACCAGTCTTTCTCAAAACAAAAATGGCTACCCTATCAGAATTATTCTAGTTTCAGTATTCACTTGGTATTGAGCCTTTTTCCTTCCCTCAGGTGGAAACTTTTACAACACCAGTTGATACAGCAGTTGGCCATAGACTATCTACAGGGAAAAAAATTATACACACACACATATACACACATCTATACTCTTACCTGCATCCCAAGTGCTGATATTATGGGGAGCACTACACTGGTGTTCCAGTTGTCTCTTCATTAGCTGGTTCATAGTCAAAGCTCCCAGAGAGCCCCTTTTCATTTGTCGGAACTGAGCTGTAAGTCAAAAATTAAAGAAGGTGCTTCAGACAAATCTTGGGCTTTAAAATACTGTCATGTACAAGCATCGTCTGGTTCCCATACTGAATCAGACTAATCTCTTCCTCCCAAGCAAATGGATCATAAGAACATAAGAGACGCCAATGTTGGATCAGGCCAGAGGCCCATCCAGTCCAACACTCTGTCACACAGTGGCCAAAAATACCAAGTGCCATCAGGAGGTTCACTCTTTGGGTGAAGAAGTACTTCCTTTTATCCGTTCTAACCCGACCGCTCAGCAATTTCATGGAGTGCCCACGAGTTCTTGTATTGTGAGAAAAGGAGAAAAATACCTCTTTCTCTACCTGCTCTATCCCATGCATAATCTTATAAACCTCAATCATGTCACCCCTCAGTCATCGTTTCTCCAAGCTAAAGAGCCCTAAGTGCTTTAACCTTTCCTCATAGGGAAAGTGTTCCAACCTTTTTATCATTCGAGTTGCCCTTTTCTGCACTTTTCCCAAAGCTATAATATCCTTTTTAAGGTGTGGTGACCAGAACTGCACACAGTATTCCAAATGAGGTCGTACCATTGATTTATATAGGGGCATTAGGATATTGGCTGATCTGTTTTCAATACCCTTCCTAATAATCCCCAGCACAACATTGGCCTTTTTTATTGCAGTCACACACTGTCTCGACATTTTCAGTGAGTTATCTACTACAACTCCAAGATCTCTCTCTTGATCAGTCTCTGCCAGTTCAGACCCCATCAACGAGTATTTATAGTTAGGATTTTTGGCTCCAATGTGCATCACCTTGCACTTGGCCACATTGAACCCCATTTGCCATGTTGACACCCACTTACCCATCCTTGACAGATCCCTTTGGAGTGCCTCACAATCCTCACTGGTTTTCACCACCCTGAACAACTTTGTATCATCTGCAAATTTAGCCACTTCACTGCTTACTCCCAACTCCAAATCATTAATGAACAAGTTAAAAAGCATCAGACTGAGTACTGATCCCTGCGGTACCCCACTGCTTACCACCCTCCACTGAGAAAATTCCCCATTTATGCTCACTCTCTGTTTTCTATTAATTAGCCAGTTTTTGATCCATAAAAGGACTTGTCAGTCTTTTTGGCCAATTCCCTATTTATACAAATGTTGAACTCAACAACATTATAATCACTGTTCCCAAGCGGTGCAATCACTTTTACATCTCTCACCAGGTCCTGAGTGTTACTTAGGACCAAATCAAGGATCGCCTCTCCCCTGGTAGGTTCCGTGACCATCTGCTCCATAGCACAGTCATTTAGAGTGTCTAGAAACTCAATCTCTTTTTCTCGACTAGAACACACATTGACCCAATCAGTGTGTGGGTAGTTAAAATCACCTATTATGACACAGTTTTTTTGTCTAGCTGCTATCTTTAATTCATAACTCATAACTCATAATTCATAGCTCAGTAAAGTATGCTTGAAGTTCTCAAGATCATCCTCTCGTGTTCCCAGGGGACAGAAGTCAGTGGCAAGATTGGAAAAATGTCTATCTGGAGAGACGCTGCAAATAACAGTTGGGTCAACTCAGATGAGACAGAGATCTGTTCATCTTTTAAAGCTCTAGCACAGCCACACAGGACCTCCAATTCAGATTCAGGGCCACGCAGGGACAAAGAGAGGAGGTCTAACCCTTCCAGCCCCACACAGCATTGCTAATTAAGACACCCTCCCCTGCTCTGCTATTCGCCCAATAAAGGGGGAGAAATGAGCAATCATCTTCAATTGGCAAAATGATAAGGTGAGAAGATTAAAACCCCTCTCACCTCTGTTCTTGGTTCTGCTGATCCAAACCTAATACTGTGGAGTTGTAAGGAAGCTTATAAAGTCTCACCTCATTGGACCCCAGGTTGGGTTATGTAGTTTGATGTAGCATATGGTAGCACTGTATAGTCAAATTGTAAGAGCAGTTCTACCATACAGGCATCAGCCTACAAAGTTTATTTTTAACAAGGTGAAAAAGCTGAAGGGGTCAAGAAAGAAACCTATTCCAGGATCCCTCCAAACATATACCTTCTTACTTATGACTACTGATTGTCTTCGCCCTGCATACTTGTGTGCAGCAGGCTTTCAGCTATGCACTCTCCATTTTAAACAAGATGAGGAATTCCACCATTTTCTAAATGTAACGGATATCTTATCAAATGGCAGTGGAAAGAGCTGGCTAATCACTTGTGTTAACTGAGTTTCTTGTTAACAGGCACTAATAATTCACTGATCTAGAAGAAGGTGCATGGCTGAAATGGCCTTTAGAAGGCAGGGACAACTTACTAGAACACACCTTATGTGCACTGCTCAGTTAACAGCTGGAGAGTTTGGAGATGAAATCTGGCCTACAATGAGGAAAGAGTTTCACTGTTGATCTGAAGAGGCTTGTGGGACTTCCAAGCATATGATTTTCCTCCTCTCCAGCCATCCAGACCAAAAGAGATGGATACACAATATGGCTTGCATTCAGAATGATCTGGCCCCTTGGATGGGACAGAGCGCTTCTCGACTGCCAGTTCCATCTTTTTAATCTCATCTGCTGGAGAAGGTCACATTGAAGCATCTTCAAATATGTTTCAATGAAGAGCACTGTCCTCCACTGCACTTCAGTAGATCTGTTCTCTCAATATGCCAGAGCTCTTTTAAGACGCTAGCTTGATCCAGTGACAACACAATTATCCAGCCTAACTGAGCTGCTTGAAGGGATGTGCAAATTCTGATTCCATTTGATACAGGAGTCACTCTCTCTCTCTCTCTCTTCAATGCTCTACAGTATATTTTCAGATCAGTGGGGGGGGGATTTTCATCTCCTCCAATGCAACGGTTCAAAACAAAAGCCTTATGAGTTTATCAGATGCAGAATTTCCCAATGAAAGAGCAGCAATTAAAATTTCAGAGCAGACAATATTGCTCGGGGTGTAGATGACTGTCAAAAATGTAGGAAATTGGCTGCTTTAAACTTCCTTGTTAGCTTTTATAATGGAAATTAAAGCTTCTCTCAGGCACATTCTTTGTTATCAGAGCACTAGTTTTGGTTTTGAGTTTATCTATCTGATTTCTCAAGGACAACTTTGATTTTACATATTAGGTCCTTGGGGGGCTTTATGGAAAGGAACCTCTAGTATTGTGGGCTGGCAGAGAACTATTATGGGTGAGGGTTTTGTGGGTATTTGTGTGTGTGCGCTTGCATGCCTGAAAGTCAGGGTGACTTCTGGCAACCCCTACTGAAGGCTTGGACATTTTTCAGAGAGGTGGCTTGATAGCCTGCCTCTGTGTCCCGAGCCCTGGTATTCCTTGAGGATCTCCCTTCCAATTATTTGCCAGGGTTGGCCCTGCTTAGCTTCCGAAATCTGACGAGATCAAGCTTACCTGAGCTATCCAGGTCAGGGCCATTATAGGTGTTTTTGATTAAACAGCTTCTTCCACAGGATATTTTAGGCTCTCATACCTTTCCTATCAGTGGTTTTTGAAAATAAATAATAATGCGTTTTCCATAGGTATGCTATATATGTGTGACCCCTGAAAACTTCAACACTTGTAGCTTTTCTTCTCCTGGGAACTCAGTACTAGGTGCTGTAAACCAAAGTCAGGTCTAACAATTCTGGATATGATCCTGCTGATCTTGGGATGTATTCAACCTGACCCCAAACAGCTTAGAAAAGAGCACAGGGAGAAAAAACCCTAAATATGGATTTATACATTATTGGATCATAGAAGTAGCTACTTCCCCATGGATGGGTCCTATTCCACTCTGGTAAGACAATCTCTGAATAACACAGAGACCAGTCACATGATTACTACCCCTGGCAACATCCCCTTCCCAATGCTAGTTGCTATCATTGACTATATTACTATAGGCAGTAGATGGACTCCAAGAGGGATAACCTTAGGATGTGCATATATCATCATAGAAGGGATCTCCAGGGTCATCTAGTCCAACCCCCTGCCCAATGCAGGCGATTCACAAATACCTCCCCGCACAGCCCAGAGACTGCTGTTCCAAGCCTATATGACATCAGTCCATATGACATCAGCCCATCTGGATCTTTCTTCTAGAAAAGATCGTGGCTACCAGCTCAGCCGTATTCAACAGCTGACTTGAGAAAGCTTGCCGTGATCAGTTTTGAAAGCCCCCCCAACCTCAAGCTACGCCAGGTTGCCTGCATAACAGACTGGCAACAACACGCCGGTATGCGTGGAGTTAATTATCTGATTGCACAGAGTGCCTAAACTTCCAGTCAAGTGTAAATTACTGAAGGCAGGCACTGCACCAGATGGCGAACATACAGTAAGAGGCAGAAGTGCAGTCACTGAGTTCCCCTCCTCGAAGTCAGGGGAGAACTTACTCGACATGGAAGAGTGGCTACTTGTCTCTGGGACGCCAGCTTCGAGGGTCGGTGCAGAAGATGATTCCCTTGGCATTTCCAGAGTTGAAAGTACTTTAGCTGAATCATCTGCAAAAGAGAAATGGGGTTCAAACTCTGAGCATCTTTTTGCTTTTGGAATCAAAGAGCCACAGTTCAGCCACCTCTTGTTCTCTTGTGTAATGCTTCTGCTTTTTCTCACCAATAGGCCATCTGGCCATCTGGCAAAACAGGGGGTAGTCCTGAAGAAATTATATACGTTTTGATATCATTGGGGAGGAAAGACGTTATTCAAAATTATCCAGTCTGATGGAAAATCTGGACTTCACTCCTTTACTTTACAAATGACTGCAATTCACTCCAATGGGGGGAAAAGCACTGCACGTAGAGACATTACTATAGAAACGGCAGAATGTATTTTCTGTTTGGGTCACTAGGTCAGAGCTGGTAACAAAAATCAACAAGTGTGGAGCAACGTTTGAGACTCTGGGGGCCCCAGAAGGGCCCGGCGCCAACCTCTCACTGGAGTGCAAGGTTACAGCACTGATCTCTGATTGAGAGAGGGCTCTAAAGACCTCCTTGTGATAACATCCGTTTCTAGGGCAATCTCCCATTTCCATCTGCGACAGATGGGCTAGAGGAGGAGCTGAGTTAACTTGCTCCTCTTGCCTTACATCAAGCCTCATCAGATCCAGCAAAGGGTCACCAGGAGGGAGCATCTGTGTGTGAACATATGCACAAGAGGGGGCCACAGAAGGCCACTGGCCCAGGGCCCCCTCAGCTCGGGAACCGGCTGTGCTCTGTGTGGTCCAGTGCCCACTCACAGGGATCCCACAGGACACAGTGCGTACTGCACACAAATACACATACACAGAGCCTCGGATCCCTGCAACATAAAAGCCCATATGCACACTAACAATCACAGACAGGCATTTTGTTACTATATATCACAGTCCAATGTGACCAAGAAAAAGAACCCAGGGCAGGACTATGCGGATGAAAAGACAGGGCTATTCAGAAAGCAGCTAGCTTGATTTTCAATGGCTAGTATCACCTGGGCAGGTTCTGCTTCCAACCCAGTGTCATCCCTGGGTACTCACTTTATTTTCTTCCATGCAAATGAGGGGCTTTCTTTTTTTCTTCCATGCAAAAAGGGCAGCATATCTTGCCTTTCATTCTTGACAATGCGCCTTCATTGACAGTGACCCAATGAAGATGGAGCAATGCATCTTTGTGTACGGGACTGCACTACATTCCAGTGGTTTTTGCAATACACAAGTTCCTCTCACACATGATAACATGCACCCATACACAAGGAGGGAGAACAGCATCTCATGGCACCACAATGTAACCTCCAACTGAAACCCAGGAATGTCGTCAGTGCCACTGTTACCTCTAAGCTGAGTTAGTGTGAGCTAGCTCACATTTTTTGTATTTATTTATATTTATTTATAAATTCAATTTATAGCCCTCCCTCCCCGCTATGTGGGCTCAGGGTGGTTCACAATAAATTTTAGCCTCCAGCTCACACATTTTTGTCTTAGCTCAGGAAAGGATGGCTCCAGAACAAACTAATTTATGCAGTAGCCAAATTGCTCACTCACACCTTTAATGCCAGCAGCTCACAAAGTATAATTTTTGCTCACAAGACTCCACAACATAGAGGGAGCATTGGTGGGGACGCGCTAAATTTTTTCTTTATCTCTGTGGTTTTTACCATAGAGAGTGGGGGGGGGGGAATCCTACAGTGTCACCACAATACAGCAACACTAGCCTGATATCATAGTGTCATGCAATGCTGTTTTGAAGTCTCTATTCCCACAGTGCTCCAGCCACAACTCAAAGCTGGGCTGGCAACCAAAGTTAGCTGGACACAATGGTTAGCTAGGCACTAATTAGGGATGGGCTGGTACCAAAACAAAGCATGGCATGCCTAGATGGCCAAACCCAAGCCTAAGGGCTATTAACTGAGAAGATGTTCTAAGAAGACAAGTTGCAAGTTGAATGAACAATGCCTTGAGCCCTGTAATGGTAGTTGAGGTAACAGAAGTAACTGTGATTCCTGCAGCTTCCATACAGGTACACTAAGAATCAGTTTGGTGGGTTAAGTGCGCGGACTCTAATCTGGGAGAACCGGGTTTGATTCCCCACTCCTCCACTTGCACCTGGCTGGATGACCTTTGGCAAGCCGTAGCTCTGACACAGCTGTTCTTGAAAAAGAGCAGTTTCTGTCAAGAGCTCTCTCAGCCCCACCTACCTCACAGGGTGTCTGTTGTGGGGAGGGGAAGGGAAAGGAGTTTGTAAGCCGCTCTGAGACACCTTTGGGTAGTGAAGGGCAGGGTATAAATCCAATCTCTTCTCTTCTCACAGTTTAACCTGATACTTGAGTTGATATAACTATAACTGTTTTACTAAACACAACAGCAGTGCTATTTTTGGGTCGGCACGCCCTGGAACGGCGTTCCGGCTGCCTTCCAAGCCTGCCCCTCCCCTCCCTCACCTCACCAAAAGTGACTGCACTCGGTAAAAGTGAAACTGAAGCAGCCGACCACGTGTGCACCTAGGCTTCGGCGCCGCTCATGCCCAATCCAGGCCTGCCCCCAATCTCGCACCTCTCTGGCTGTTGCAGTCTGGGTACCTCTCCTCGGCGCCCCAGGCCCAGGCCTCCGGCCACATCTCGCTGTTCCACCGGTCGCTCCTCCACCGTGTTTCCTGTGCTCCCCCCACCGCCACTGCCACTTGCCTCATTGCCACTCTCTCCCCTAGGTAAGGGGAAGTCCGACAGCTTCGTCAGCATGGGCCTCTCCATCTGGGGTGGGGTTGCGATGGGAGACCCGGGGGGAACTGGGACGGAGAGAGAGAGAGGTAGGCGGGGGCCACTGGATCCAGCTGGCGCAGAGGTGACCTCCTGGCCTGGAAATGGGCTCTTCCTCTCTGCTCGTCCCACCTCCACGCTACTCTTGCTGGCCTCCCCTGGGACTCGACCGGACCTCCCCCGACTCCCTCCATGCCCAATCCAGGCCTGCCCCCAATCTCGCACCTCTCTGGCTGTTGCAATCTGGGTACCTCTCCTCGGCGCCCCAGGCCCAGGCCTCCGGCCACATCTCGCTGTTCCACCGGTCGCTCCTCCACCGTGTTTCCTGTGCTCCCCCCACCGCCACTGCCACTTGCCTCATTGCCACTCTCTCCCCTAGGTAAGGGGAAGTCCGACAGCTTCGTCAGCATGGGCCTCTCCATCTGGGGTGGGGTTGCGATGGGAGACCCGGGGGGAACTGGGACGGAGAGAGAGAGAGGTAGGCGGGGGCCACTGGATCCAGCTGGCGCAGAGGTGACCTCCTGGCCTGGAAATGGGCTGCCCCCGGCCATGAAGTCCTGCAGGAAGAGGCAGCAGTGGGCGCCTCTTCGGAGAGAGGGGCCAGGGGCAACGAGGCAGGTGGCAAGTGGCTCCTGCTGGGGGAGCCCATGGGCTGCTGCTCTTTGGAGGAGAGCAAAAGGTCAGTCTTAAAAGAATTTGGGTGCCTCCAGCCCACCAAGTATCAGAAGCCAGTTCCTAGAAAAGCTAATGGCTTTGATGCTCAGGAAACTCCAGTAAAGAATGATGGAAGCTCTCCCAATTGTAGCCTGGTTACTGAGCCCCTGCACTTGGAAAGCAATGGCATGTTTTTGTGCCCTGCTCAGAAAGCACATCCTAGCACCCAGGGAGAAATGGAGGGAGAGCTGCCAGCCATTTAACGCTAACAGCTGACCTGTGATCCGACCGTCAGCTGCTCCCTTTGAAGGGCAGGTGGGCAGCCATTTCAGGGCACCCTTTTGCTCCCCCCCCCCAAAAAAAAGTGAGAGGGAGTAAAAGGGAGGCTTCTGGCTACCTTCCTATTGTCTTTCTTTCTGTCTGTCTGTCTTCTTTCCTTCCTTTCGTTTCTCTTCCTTTTACTCCTCTCTCCCCATCTGTTTTCTACCTCTCACTTCCTTCCTTTCTCTCTTTTTCTTACTTCATCTTTTTTCTCTCTTTCTCTCTCTTTCTGCCTTTCTCTCTTTCTCCATCTCTCTTTTTCTCTGTCTCTTTTACTCTCTCTGTCTCTTTCTTCCCGCCCCCCTTTTGTGTTTCTGTCTTTCTTGCTTTCTTCCAATCCCTCTGTCTTTCTCAGTCCATATTCTTTTTCCTTTGGTACACAATGCCTTCAGCTCACACACACACTATATAGTATGCTAATAAGCTGCGCTGTCAGGGGTGTGGCCTAATATGCAAATGAGTTACTGCTGTTGGGTGTGGCCTATTATGCTAATGAGTTCCTGCTGGGCTTTTTCTACAAAAAGAGCCCCGCACAACAGTACACATTTAAGATGACATTAAAATCCTGACACAAGTTCTGTACAGTACAGCCACACTACACCTATAGCACTATGCTTGGAGACCTAATTCACAAAACTGGGGATAGTTGAGTGGAACAAAGAGGCATGGATGGGGGTTTTCCAAAAGAGGCTGGGCTTTGGTTGGTTCTAGACAAGGGTCCTAGACATTTATATACTATTGACTGGACAAAAATCTGCAGAGAGCTATGTATGAAATTTTCTCCTCCACAAATAGCCATAAGAAGAGCCTATTTGGGGTGGGAGGAGCTAGACTCAAGTCTAGTAGTACCTTAGAGACCAAGATTTTGGGGGATGTGAGCTTTCAAGAGTCAAAGCTTCCTTCATCAAATATTGTGTTGGGTGGATAACTTTTAGTTTTGTCTCACCTGTGTCTTTCTGCTCCCCCAGTTTGTCCAAGATGTTGAAGGAAATGTCAAGGTATTCTCTCTGGATGGCGCTCACTGCAATCTTCCTCTGCTTTCTCTGCCTTGGTACAATTTGAATCTTAAATTCAGACTCTTCTGCTTCTGCTTCTTCTTCTTCTGGTTTTTGTTCCACACTTTGTTCAGTATCCGATTCCACATTGGTATCGGGTTTCTCACTTTCACTTTGGTTCTCAGAGTCCTCTGGGACCTTAATGAGGACAGTTTTCCCACTTGAACTGGGAAAAGGTCCACCAAGTTTAATTTCATCAACACAAAAGTCAAAGCTCTCATCAATGGACATCTCTGGAAGAGCAGACGACTTCTGCAGCAAATCTCGCTTCTGTTTTAGCGTCAGCAACGGGCTGCCACAAGTCACTTCACGAACTTCTTCGGGCTTGGCTAACTCTTCAACATCTCTTGGACTGTCAGGCACCACCAAAGGGGTTTCCTCTTGTGCAAATGACACAATAGTGCTTGCCTCAGTAGGGGTTAAGCTTCTGGAGCAGTCCTCAATGCTGAACTGCACCACAGGGGTTATGCTGAAGCTGAGCAAAGAGATACTGGTGGGGCTTGAAGGAGTGGAAGTGGCCATCTTGCTGGAGACACCAACGGTCACCTGACCTATGAAATCAGCTTCTTCTTCATCACTTTCCACTATCCTGAGAGGAGGGAGAGGTTCAAAGACCAAGGAGTCACTGTCTGAATTGGAAATAATTGACTGCTTTTCAGGCCCTGATGTTGAATCAGAGGACAGGTCTATAAGGTCCAAATCCTCTTTTGGAGGAGAAGCTTTGATTGGAGAATCCACCATCACTTCATATGGCTCCATGCAGTTCAGCCTGACTTCTGGAATGATGGGTCTCCGCCTTGCTGGGATTTTGGCTGGGACGGCAGGAGGGGTTTCGTTCTCCCCTGTTTCTGCATCTTCAGTCATAGTGAAGGAATTTTGCCGAGATCGCCCATTCTGCCTTGACGCGGTATAAACGGAAATGGCGGGTGGCTTCTCTAAGTCGCAGCGGTCTATGCATGACTTCCTGCGGTGTTCATCTAATGTAAACAGCAGGGAGTCTGCATTTCCTATGTCGAGAGATTTTTGTTTCAGAGAGCGCAGTTTCTTTTTCTGAATGCTTTCCTCTCTCACACAGCGCAGGATGTTGTCTTGCAGTACGCCTGTTTCTCTGTATTCAGCCAGTTCTATCTCACCTGGTGGAAACAGAAAAAAAGGTTAGTACTATGTAATTCAGCACTGTTTCTCCCCCTCCCCTTGCAATAATCATCATTTTGCAATCTCATCAATACTACAGAATTTTGAGACACGAATACACATTTTTAATTGCAAAATTACCTTTAAGGTGAAGGCTCCCCAGTGTACAAAACTGGCTCAAGACCAGCCAGATGTGAGATTTCCCAAGGCCAATTCATGATGTGCAAACTTAGTAAACAAAAGGGGTAGATCCAAGTGGTCTGAAGCAGTAGAACAAAGTTTGAGTCCAGTGGCACCTTTAAGACTAACAAAGTTTTATTCATGGTATACACTTTCGTTTGCAAGCACACTTCTTCAGACACAGAAGTGTGCTTGCACACGAAAGTTGATACCTTGAATAAAACTTTGTTGGTCTTAAAAGATGCCGCGGGACTCAAACAAAAAGGGGGTGACTGGGCTGGTAAATCACTGAGTTTAGCTTGTGGTCTCTTCCAGGGGTGGTCTTAGCCAATGATCAGCAGGGACAGCTGCCTGGACCCTGTGCTAGGGGTCCAATGCAACCCCAATAGAGGGGGTCAGCTGGCTCAGCAGCAGTGACTGCTTGCCCCAGCCCTACCTAAGGGTAAGACAGCTGGCTTCCAGAGGAGGCAGCAGCTCCCCTCCACTTCACACAGGATGAAGGCCACTCCTTGCTTGTACCCCAGAGGTGGGGGTTTGACCCAGCAGGAGCCCTGGTGGGTGTGACAGTGATTCTGGGGCCCCTTCTTGGACTTTTGCCCAGGACCCCAGAATCACTAAAACCACCCTTGGTTTCCTGAAATCAGTTCACTAGATCAGCCTGGAAGCTCCCCATTCTGATGCCAGTTTCATGTATTCAGGTTAACTTAAATCCAGTGTACAATATTTATACAACTAGGAACTCCAAGTGTGCTTGTGAAAGGAACAACCCCAGTTCACTGTTGTCACAGGCAACTAGTCACATGTAAGACTTGTGACCCGCCAAGTGTGGATCCCCATTTCCAATTAAAGATGCATCCAGCTAATTCAACGGGGATCAGATAAGCACTAGGATGCAGTTGGCGATAAGTGTGAGGGGAGTGGGTTGCACCCGCGCACCTGTCTTGCTTCTAAGCCTTGCACGCTGCCCAGTAACACTGAAGTACCCCCTATCATATTTCACTGCACTTGCAGCTCACAGCAACTATGTTCGGACTTGCATGATGCTTATCGTAACACTTCTGTTGGTACATCTTGTTGCATATGTGGCGTTTGCGCACACATTTAAATGTTTTAAGGGGGGGAAATTAGCATGAAAGTGCATTTATAATATCTCTGATTTTAACGTGTCATACTTCTCTGAGCATTCATCTCAACTGGCTGGTATTTCACCACTTTGCTGCCTCCGATTCTTTTCAGTCTTGCAAAGAAAGTTTGAGACTCTTTATTGTCTGTCCCAGTGGGTGTGTCGTGGATGTCAGATTCATCAAAGACACTGTCTTCCTCCGCTGGAAAGAGGGGGCAAAAAGCAGTGTTGTCCTTCAGCAAATGCACCATGTTACTTACAACAGACAGTTTATTTAAGGATTTCAGTAAACGGGTACTGATCCTCCAAATACATTCAAGTTACTAAAACTGTCTCACAGGACTAGTACAAAAAGTATATACCACCAGTGCAATCCTATATGGAGTTACTCCAGTCTAAGCCCACTAATTTGAATGGGTTCAGACTGGAGTAACTCTGCACAGGATTGCTGTGCAGGTCTCCTACAATTGCATCATGAGGCACTAATCATTTTCTCTTTAGTTATCTCTGGTTTTAGAAGTTATTACTATCTCCCACCTTCCAGAGGCCCAGGCTACTCCAGTCTCATCAGATCTTGGAAGCTAAGTAGCATCAGCCCTGGCAAGTAATTGGATGGGAGCCAATCAAGGAGGTCCAGTTACTAAGCAGAGGCAGGCAATGGCAAACCACCTCTGTTCATCTCTGCCTTGCAAATTCTACAGCAGAGGTGTCGAACTCGTCTGTTATGAGGGCTGGATCTGACATAAATTTCACTTTGTCAGGCCAAGCCGTGTGTGCCGTAAAATGTAACGCCAAGTACCGGTGATATAAAATTTATAAAGGACACAGGCAAACCCAATTAATGATATTATTTTTTTACTCAAAATGCAAACATGCTTAAAGCTCTTACAGTATTTCCTTGAAACATCTCCCTGATGCCCACCCTCCCACTTCCAACACCCATTATGCATCAGGACTGGGACAGGATACAGGGACATAATGTACAGCCTCTGTCAGCTGCCAATAAAGGCAATGACCAGTTCCTCACAGGCTGGATAAGAGCCCCGGACAGGATGGTTCCAGCCCACGGGCCATATGTTTAACACCCCTGTTCTACGGGTCACCATAAACCAGCTGCAACTTGATGGCCCTTTCCACCACCAACTTCCAAGGAGCTCAAGGCAGCATGCATTTCCTTGGATCCTAAGAATCCTAAAAGAAGACCCATTCAGGAAACAAGGATTCTCTGCCTCCTCCGTTCTGCCACAGTTCTACCCAAAGCAGTTCTTGAAGGTTGGGGGCCCTCCCAAAATATTGAAGGCAAGGAAGTACAGACTGGAGACCACCTCTTCCATTCATGTAACAAGTGCTCTAATTTTATCCTCACACCAACCCTGTGAGGCACGTTACAGTGAGAGCAAGAGCAACTCTACCAAGTCACCCAGTGAGCTTCATGGCTAAACGGAAATTCGAACTTGGGTCTTCCTTTGGTCTAAGGCCACCACTCAGCCCATTGCCCCAAGCTGACTATTTTAGCAATGCAACAAACATCACTTTTAAGACTACTTATAAGAGCCAGGGTGGTGTGGTGGCTAAAGTGTTGGAGTAGGATCTGGGAAACCCAGGTTTGAATCCCTGCTTGTGTCATGGAAGCTCACTGGGTAACCTTGGGCCCGTCACAGCCTCTCAGCCTAACCTACCTCACAGGGCTGTTGTGAGAATCAAATGGAGGAGAGGAAGAATGATGTGAGCTGCTTTGGGTCCCCATCGGGAAGAAAGGCAGGGTATAAATAAAGGAAATAAGTAAGTGGTATTCAGAAGGTATCAACCTGCAGTGCTCCTGCCGAATTAGCCTAATTATACTGGTTCGCAGCGGCTGAAAGCCTGCCCTCAAGGAAATAATCCTGCCATGCTGATCAAAGTTAAATATAGCAGAAATACCATGCATATCATTCCACTTTATGGATCTCTCTATCTAGCATCTTTTTACCCCCTCCTTCCTCTACAACGCTCAGGGTGGTGAACATAGTTCTCGCCTCCATGGTAGGCTGAAACAGACTGCCTGGCACCCCAAATCCCTCTAAGCTGTGGAGTCTTGTGAGCAAAAATTCTACTTTATGAGCTACTGGCATTAAAGTTGTGAGCAAGCCATTTGGCTGCTGCATGAATTAGTTTGCTCTGGGGCCATCCTTCCTGAGCTAAGACAAAAATGTGTGAGCTGGAGGTTAAAAAACTGTGAGCCAGCCCACACTAACTCAGCGTAGAGGGACCACTGCCAGGGAGCCTTACAGTTGCGTGGATATTTGAACCCAGGCCTTCCCAAGTCCAGCACACTCACCCCTATACCACACTGGCTTTTACCACACTGGTGTGTGGCTGTTATTTATGAACAGTCAGGCCCTCTCAGACACCATGACCTTAAAAGGAACCATAGGTCACCATATTTCATTTTCACCAGTGTCGAGGCAAGCCACTCAGGAACAACACCAAGGGGCCCATGAGGGACCATGGGTTCCAGACATTCTCAGAATGGAATGCAGATGGTCATCATTCCATCAAATCAACCCAGAACCCCAGATGGGGGAACTACTACCAACATATTACTGTCCTCTGAGGCTACAACCGCTCCATCCAACTCAGATGCCACTATTCCTACAGCAAATCGTGTATCCGCTCTGGTGATCAAGCACCGGTTCGATTCAGATACTATAAAAACTCCATGCCAAAGTGGTCTTTAAATTGCCTGGGGATGTGTGAATTCAGCTGGTGGCAGACATTCTCTCTTTCTTGAAACTAGCAATCATGGAGCTGGGCGCCCCAAAGCAGAAAAGGTACTGATGCGGACAATGACAGATGAGACCTCTTCCCCCCCCAAAAAATCTATTTTTAATTCTTTTCTTCTTTAGCCTCCCAGGACAGCCTCTCAGGCAAACCTTCCTTAGATATTATTAAAAGTGACACTAGATTAGCCTGAAGGATCAAGTCAGGAAAGTTTGTGTCTTCCGAAACTCTTTGGGAAATCATATAAATGCAGGGCTCGATTCAACTTCAGTTTGTAAAACTAACTGTGAATTGGAAGCCTAATTCAGGGTTTAAATGCAAGGATTTTACGCATGTTGAATGGCCATTCCTAATTTCGATCAAACATTCTAGAATGCAACCTTCCCTGATCGATACCACCCAGTGATCTGGAAAATTTAGTCGTATCTAATATTACTTAGTACCTTTTTCCTTCTCACTATATCTGCTAACATTGCTGTTGTCGCTGTATAAAGGGCCCGTTGAGGCGTGAGGCTTGCAGCTGTGATACTGTGCATTAAGCGTGTTGACAGTTATGTGGATGAGATGCAAAACAGTTTTGCTGATGTCGCAGTCCCTGTATGGATACTGTGCAAAAAAAATCAGAAACAAATTCATTACTGTTACCAAACATAAAAACCCTAACCTGATCTCACTGGGTTTCTACTTTGTGGTTTTCATCAAACACAGCCTACAAAAAATAGTAATATTCCTATGCAATCTCCTTCAGTCATTCGGCTACTGCAAAGATAATCATGATAAATGCAGGTTTTTAAAGACCTCTGTGTTTTTATTTAACAGATCAGGGCATTCTATTGCTCATCTGAATGTCGGTATTCTCCTATAGAAGAATGTCAGAGGGAGCGACCAACAGGAAATTGGCCTAATTAGAATTCAACAACAAGTTTAACTATTTCTCAGCCAGGCCTTGATAAGGACTGGACATTTATCATTCACCACAGGTTCTAATACCTTTGGTCATTCCACCCTTTACACGTGTTCATTAGTTCTTCTTTACTCCTCAGCTTTCCTAATTGGATCTGCATATCATGTATCTACATTTGGTTCATTTGACCTCTGTTATGTTAATCCTACTTCATCTACCCATCAACAGTTAGGAATGGATGGACTATTGTTTTCAAACTGGCTTCTCTTTGTAACATCTCCCCCACACACACTTGCGCTCTGCAGTTCTGAGAATAAATACTTCTGTGTCACATAAAATGAGCTCTAGCTCATGAAAGCTTATGCTGGAAGAATTTTTGTTAGTCTTTAAGGTGTCACTGGATGCCCATTTGATGTTCCAGATCTCTCCAGTGTTCTTCATTACTCAGTTTTTTTATTGTGATAACAACCAGCATTAATGCCTGTTGCTCTGGCAGCAACACACGAGCACTTACACATACACACAAAGCTGCCTTAGAGTGCATCAAACCACGGGTCCATCACGGTCAGTATTGTCTCCTCAGGCTGGTAGCAGCTCCCCTGGGTCTCAGGCAGAGGTCTTTCAGACCACACACTGCCTTGAACCTGGGACCTTCTGCATGCAAAGCAGAGACTCTTCCGCTGAGCCACAGCCCCTCTCACTTACCTTGTAGAGGATGACAAGCAGTGCCTTGAGCCACATCTGCCGAATATGAGGCTTAAGGGGCCAGAGGGAGCAGCGGGGAGGTTGCTGGAAGTAGTGCCTCAGCTGTGGGCATGTGCAGTACTTGAGCACCTGGGCCACCAAGGGGAGGAGGTGCTTGCCGAGGTTGATGTTGTAGTCCATCACCTGATAAGAATATCAACAAAAGCATCAAGGCTTCCAGTATCATAACAGGGCAAGTTAACTTTAGAAAATCTTTGGCAGCTGATTAAGAAGCGGCTGCAAGCTTTTATCAGTCCCACGCATTCTGGCTAGAAAGGTAGCCCCCATTGGGCTTACTGCGCATGCACAGGACTGGGCTACATGCTTGCTTTGATCCGAAGCATACTGAAAGCTTCCACTGTGGTTAACAGTAACAATGCGAAAGAGAGAGATGACATATGGTTTTAAGAAGAGATCTAGAAAAGCAAAATGATTAATGATCGGATTACGGAATTTATTTCAAGGGAGACTGGCTGCTCTTTTGCCCGGTGTTGGAACAAGGAGTGCTTTCACGTGGACTCTGTCACTCTGATGACTTTATCACTTCAAAATTCTCCTTGGGCAAAATTTTCCAAAGCTCATTGCTCATGTTTCCATAAGAAAATATGACTCCATGCCTACTGTGATCAACAAGTACTGTTTCATGAGCTGAAACCGAGAATATGTGCTTACAGACTATCATGCGTCCACAATGTGAACGTTTTGTATACGTGCAGCGCAGGGCAGCTGCCAGCTATTCATCAGTGTTTGTGATGCTTTGCTTGATTAAAGGATGAACACAGTCCCTATTCCAGTCTGTTTACAGTCTGAAGATGAATGGGAAAGAAAAGCAGCAAGGGGAGTGAAAGAGGAAGAAGCTCTAAGAAAGAGCAGGCTACCATTAGATTTTGGGATGCAATGGTGGCATGATTTGCTACCACCAGAGGTGAAATGATTTGCTACCACCAGAGGAGGGAGTCCTGCCAACACTGTCAATAGGAGTTATTTTGCACACTGGAAGAAGCAGGTGCATGAATGATTCATGATTTTCCAGGTTTCTTCCAGTGTAATGCGCAAAGGGGAAACCTGCACATTTCCCTAAAGGCAAAGGGTGTAAGATCCCCCTTTATAAACTTACACCATAAATGCAAAAATTTAGGAATACAAGCCGCTCCCGTATCCACTTTGGACTTTTTAAAACACGCACAGCCATCCTTGGCTAAATTATAGGCACTGGAGTCTTTGGGGGTATAGAAGCTGTCACAGATGTTTGCTCTGATTGGCTGCCGAAGACCATCCTCTCAATGGACCAATTAAAATTGGCATAGAACATTACACACTGCTTGGATCCACTGACAGAGCAGATGAGCAATGACAGCAGCCCATCCATTCCATTCATTATTTCCTTGCTGCCTTGGTAATCTTTCCTAATTCCTTCTCCATTGCCCTGGTAAAACTTTGCCCTGGTTAGCAGGAAACACTGTAATCAAGTGCAAATGACTCAAAACTATGCGAGGGGAAACAAAGCTCTCCTACCAATGTGGTGCTCACAGAGTCTTATAAAATCACTGGCTGAGGTCAGTGGTTGCATTGAGCCCACATTAAGCTTCAAATGGGCGCAGATGCAGCTTGCACAAGCTTCTGTCTCCTCCGGGGGTGGTTTTAACCAATGAGCAACAGGGGGACATTGGGGGGCCCTGATACCCATGGCCTGCCCCTCTCTGAAGGAGGCAGTTAAAGAAGAAGACCAGGCTCCTACTGCTGCTTGTACCCAGCCCATCTGGAGTTTGGGCAGCTGGCTGATGGTAGTACTGGTGACTCCTGCCCACCTTGCATGAGGCAAGCACCACCCTTTGCTTGGCCTGGAGAAGGGCCCCATGGGAGTGCATGGTTTCTGAGGGCCTATCGTGGACTTTTGCCCAGGACCCTAGAATCACTGGTACCACCCCTGCTCTCGTCTGTCATTTTTCTTTTCTTACAAGGAAACCAATGAAGCAAAAGCTCTCTGCCAAATGAAGGTGCAGCACAATTCCCAGGTAGCCTGGTTACTAGTCCACGCCTGTCGGGGCCTGACACTGCACAGCCTTACCAAGATCTATTCCGACCGAAGGCTGCTACAGCCAGCGTCTTCCCAGAAGAACTGTCAAATACCACCATCTGCTGGGCTACTCTCCAAATGATGTTCAATGTGTTCAATATTGCAGCTCCTGCCGTTTGAAGATGCCCTTTCTAAAGAGGCAGCAATCAACTACACATAAAAAAGGAATGCCTCTTGAGGGAAAATCTTCGGGGACACTCCAGCATGAAACGGCTGAATTAGAATTCAATCGAGAAATGCAAACTCCACTTCCTGATGGCTTTAGGACTTGATCTCCCTTGTTCATTCCTTAACAGAACTAGACAGATGGCCAATTCCTGTACTTCTAAAAATCACATAATTATATCTCATCAGGGCTTTTTTGGTAGAAAACCCCCAGCAGGAACTCATTAGCATAACAGGCCACACCCAACAGCAGAAACTCCTTAGCATATTAGGCCACACCCCTGATAGCACAGCTCATTAGCATATTGGGCCACACCCCCATGTTACCAGAGGTGTGGTCATCCAGCCACACCCACCTTTTGCTTCTTATTCTGTTTACCTTGTTTGTTGTCAAAATCCAGGGCTTTTTTGGTAGCAGGAACTCCTTTGCATGTTAGGCCACACACCCCTAATGTAGCCAATCCTAATGAGTTTCCGCTGTTGGGTGTGGCCTATTATGCTAATGAGTTCCTGCTGGGTGTGGCCAACTCGGGAGCCAGCCAGAACTCCGTTCCTGTGCGTTCCTGCCCAAAAATAGCTCTGTATCTCATACTGTCTTTCCTGTATCTCATGGTCCTTTGAGCCTGCTGTTGACATTTTTTCCCTTGATAACCTCACACAAACCTGCCTAGTCAGAGCCCCACTACATGCAGAGTGGACACAAGTCCACAAACGCTTATGCTACAAAATTTTTAAAAAAAAACATTTTAGACTTTACATTGTTGCTGCAACAGACTAAATATGGCTACTCCTCTGGAACGATTCTGTTTTGGAAACCAGGCTTTCTTACGGTGAGCATTTAAATTTTAAAAGGCTGATTCGCTGAACAGAGTTACACCCTTCTGAGCCCCCTGACATCAGTGGCTTTAGACTGCCAGTCTCTGGCTGCATCCTTCGGTTTGTTTGTATATTTGGTTTATTAATATCTGCATTGTTGCACAATAGAGGTTTATTGTGAGAGATACTACTTTTGAAGTAATTTTGTTTATTAAAATTGCATTTTTATAGATTCAGTTTATATTTCCACTACAGGTTTACACACATATTCAGAAAGAGTTTTTTTTCCTCAGCCTTTTGATTTTCCTGCATTCAGGACAAGTCCCTTGTTTAATTTACTTTCTTCCCTCCACTCCCCATATGCGCTGGAAAACTAAAAACTCCCTGGTTCTAACTGCCGTATGCCATGCCATCCAAATCTGACAAGAAACCATGGCTGGTTCTTTTTGCTACTAACTAGCATTTTCAACCAGGATTAAAGCATGGTTTAGAAGCATGGTCTGTAGGCAGGGCTATTTTGGGGCACAGGAACGGAGTTCCGGCTGGCTCCCAAGTTGGCCACGCCCAGCAGGAACTCATTAGTATAACAGGCCACACCTAACAGCAGAAACTCATTAGGATTGGCTACATTAGGGGTGTGTGGCCTAACATGCAAAGGAGTTCCTGCTACAAAAAAAGGCCCTGTGTTTTGACAACAAACAAGGTAAACAGAATAAGAAGCAAACGGTGGGTGTGGTCATTTGTTATTTTGCCTGGATTCAGACAACATGAGAAAATGGCAGTTTTGTAGAACCAGGAAGTTGTCCCTCTACAGACAAGGAAAACAGGGAGGAATGTGCAAGCTAGGGGAACTTCCTGGCCTATTCCTGCCATGAACAAACCAGGTGATGTCTGTATACAGCCAATCATATGGCTGTTTAAATGTGCACAGTATAGCAATTAAAGGGATTTTCCCACACCAAATGTCTCTTGTGTGCCTGTACTGCATCAGGGGGTTTTTTCCATAGGTTTTGCTCCCTCTAGTGGTCACTTTGGTCTTTTATTGAGGTTTCACCATTTTTACAAAAAGCGGAGAAACTATCATGAAAGATTGAAGTGACCACTTGAGGGAGCAGAACCCTTGCGGAAAAGAGGAAAGATGCAGTACACACACACACAACTGACAAAATAACATGCATGGGGGGAAAACAAGTTTAGCTCTGCAATTCACCACAAGCTGGTTCTACTTTGCCTTCAACTGTGTCAGTGGTTTTTGCACAAAAAAAGTACAGGGCCTGGAGGTAACGTCTATAAGAGTTCCTGTCCTCAAGCTAACCAAACTGCCACACTGTTAGAAACATTTTATTTTCCAAAGGAGAAATAATCATATTCTGAGAAACAAATTTGGAGTGGTTCATATACCACTTCTGGGGTTTTGCCACCAAGATCGTTTGCAGCCATGGCAAACAGCCAACAATATAAGCCATCCAATACCGAAGGCCGAGCGCCGAAAAATAGATTCTTTTGAACTCTGGTGCTGGAGAAGACTCTTGAGAGCCCCTTGGACAGCAAGAAGATCAAATCAGTCAATCCTAAAAGAAATCAACCCTGACTGTTCCCTGGAAGGCCAGATAATGAAACTGAAGCTCAAATACTTTGGCCACCAAATGAGAAGGGGGCACTCACTGGAGAAGACCCTGATGCTGGGAAAGATTGAAGGTCAAAGAAGACGGGGACGGCAAAGGATGAGATGGTTAGACAGGGTCATGAAATTGAGCAAACTTCAGAGGATGGCGGAAGACAGGAGGGCCTGGCGTGATCTGGTCAATGGGGTCGTGGAGAGTTGGACTCGACTGTGTGACTGAACAACAACAACAACTGGATAATCGGATAGTTTACACCAAATGGAAGCAAAATGGCATGCCTTATAGAGAATAAAGCCAACTTACTTGGGCAATCCCCGCAATAAAGGCATTAAAACAAGTTGAAACGCGCATTTTTTGAGGCGCGATCATGAAGCAACCTTCCTGTTGATCATAGGCCAGCAAGACATACAAGTGGCGCTTGACTGTGTTGAAGGCTTTCGCACTGCTGATGTCCGACTCTGCGCTGCTCTCATCTTTCGCCATAAATTTCATCAGCACAGTAATTAGTTGATGGACTGTCTGATGGTCAATGCCAGCATCTTCTGGGAGAACATCCTTTATGGTGTTGTTATTTTCCGGTGAAGGTTGCCCTGTAAGCACATAAAAAATGCAGTTGTAGTTCATAAACCAAAATGACACCTGGGAGGGAAGTCCAAGCCCTTAGAAGGAGACACGACTTTAGGCAACGAGAGCAGAGTGGATGTTGCCAAAGACTGAACTAGAGTTTTTCATTCCAATACCACATTTTTAAAAAAATTAACGTAGAAATTAAATTACATGACAAGCACAATAAAAACAAATCGTTTAACCCAGCCAATAAAAAATAAGAGGGAAGGGACAAAATGTGCCTCATAGGGCAGAGAATCTCAGAGCCACCACCGAAAGGCCCTGCAAGTCTAAGCATCTGCCCAACTTCTGACAGTAGAAGAAAACAGATCAAGGTCTCTCCAGATGACCTAAGTGCATATGTAGAGATCCCTCCCAGCCCCTTTTGGGTTTTAGAGGTAAAATAAGAGCACCATGAAGCAAAATTGATTCCAGTGAAGCTATATCTATCATCAAAGCAGCCTCCGATGGCAGTAGCCAGGTAAAGCATCTTTGGAACCACTAATAACGTTTGTCATTAGCCGCCTATGCAAATATACTATGATAAAGTTTCTTGTAGGGATGCGATTATTTACATAGGATAACTTTGCCAAAAATATGAATCCAATTTGTAGTTAACTGTTGTAATGTATACAAGAAGTGTCTAGGAGCACGTTTCTGCTTTGCATATCCTTTAGCTTTGGTGCTGTTGCCTTTTTATTTTGAAACAAAGCTGGCGTGTCCTGTTGTTTACAATACTACATATGGCAACCTGGATAGACTGAAGACATCTTGGCAAACGAGCTGCCACAGAAGGTTGTGCTTTTGCTTTGTAAGTATTTCTGAAGCTGGGAGAAAATGGCTGCCACTGTGCAGACTGTTTCACAATTTGAACAGTAGCAACAAACCTGGGTCAAGTGGTTAGACCAAGAGTCCCCAATTGTTTTGGGCTTGCAGGAACCTCTGGGATTCTGATATGGTGTGGTGGGCACAGCAACAAAAGGGTTGTCATAAAATGGCTGCTGCAGTAGGCAGAGCCGGCCACAAAATGATTGCCACAGCTTAACTTGGGAAACTTTTTTAGAATAAATCATCATTCAGACAGTCCTTGAGCATTTAGAAAGGACAACTGTGATTACTAAGAGCCAGCATGGATTTCTCAAGAACAAGTCATGTCAGACTAACCTTATCTCTTTTTTTTGAGAAAGTTACTACCTTGCTGGATAAAGGAATGCTGTAGACATAGTTTATCTTGGTTTCAGTAACGCTTTTGATAAGGTTCCACATAATACTCTTGTTGAGAAATTGGAAAAATGTGGTTTGGATCCCACGACTGTTAGGTGGATCTGTAACTGGTTGACCGATCACACCCAAAGAGTGCTTGTGAATGGTTCCTCATCTTCTTGGAGAGGAGTCCACCTGCGTAAAGTTTGTGGGGGCTGCGAGGCACCAGCCCTCCCCCAAATTTCCCAGAAGGCTCTTTAAAAGCTGCAACACCCGTGGGGGGAGCAAAACGTTCTCCCGCCTCCCTGAGCCCCGGGGTGGTGGCCTTGGACTCGTAGGGGCAAATTCCACCTCTCACGCGAGAGGTCATTCTGGCTCCCCCAGCTGTCCTGAGGGGCTCTTTAAAAAGTTATGGCCGCCGCCCCCTTCGGCAACAGCTGCAACCACAGGGGGAGGGCTGCTGAGCTGCCCTCCCCGCCTTTTTCAGGCTCCGCACCGGAGTGCCGGGCCTGAAAAACGGCCTGCAGAGCCACCATCCCCTGCCCTCCCCTCCTTTTTCAGGCTCTGCACTAGAACGCCAGGCCTGAAAAAGGGCCAGCCGAATGTCAATTTCAGCCCCATTATATCCTATGGGCCATTGAAGTCAATGGCGAAAACATAGGGTATATTCTGGGGGCTGGAGGGGTGGGGGTTTGAGGGAGATGCTCCAAACTTGCAGAGCATCTGCTGGAGCCTCTCCCCAAGATACCAACCAAGTATGAAGAGCATTGGACCAGGGGGTCCAATTCTACAGACCCCCCAAAAGGTTGCCCCCATCCCCTCCATTGTTCTGTATGGTGGGAAAAAGTATTTTTTTCCCATCATAGAGAACGATGGAGGGGATGGGGGCAACCTGTTTGGGGGCCCGTAGAATTGGACCCCCTGGTTCAATTTTCCTGAAATATGGCGGGCATCTTGGGGAGAGGCTCCAGCAGCTACCCTGTGATTTTGGAGCCTCACCCTCAAACCTCCTCCCCTCCAGCCCCCAGAATATACCCTATGTTTTTGCCATTGACTTCAATGGCCCATAGGATATAATGGGGCCGAACTGCGGGAAGCCCCATCAGCCCTCAGGCCGGAGCACCTGGAGCAGTCTTGGGAGGCGGATTGGCAAAAAGCAAAACCAAAAGCGCAGGAACTCTAGAGAAATCCTGCCTCCGGCCCGCCCCCGCCCCCCCCCCCCCCCGGAAATTGGAAAGTCTACACCCTTGGGAGTGACAAGGGTGTGACAAGTGGAGTGCCTTAAGGAACTGTCCTGGGACCTGTTTTGTTCAACATCTTTATCAATGATTTGGATGAAGGGATAGAGGGAATGCATATTAAATTTTGCAGATGATACTAAATTGGGAGGGGTAGCAAATATGGTAGAAGACAGAGTCAGGATACAAGATGATCTTGACAGGCTGGAAAACTGGGCTAAAACAAATAAAATTAATTTCAATAGGGATAAATGTAAAGTTCTGCATTTAGGTAAGAAAAATCAAATGCATAATTATAGGTTGGGGGAGACTTCTCTTGGCAGTAGTATGTGTGAAAAGAATCTAAGGGTCTTAGTAGACTATACACTGAACATGAGTCAGCAGTGTGATGCAGTTGCTAAAAAGGCAAATGCAATTTTATGCTGTATCAACAGAAGTATAGTGTCCAGATAACGTGAAGTGATGGTATCACTTTACTCTGCTCTAGTTAGACCTCGCCTAGAGTATTGTGTTCAGTTTTGGGCACCACAATTTAAGAAGGCTATAGACAAGCTGGAACATGTCCAGAGGAGGGCAACAAAGATGGTGAGGGGTCTGGAGACCAAGTCCTATGAGGAAAGGTTGAAGGAGCTAGGTATGTTTAGCCTGGAGAGGAGACGACTGAGAGGTGATATGATAACCATCTTCAGTACTTGAAGGGCTGTCATATAAAGGATGGTGCGGAGTTGTTTTCTGTTGCCCCAGAAGGTCGGGCGGGAATGGGTTGTTTTTGGCTAAACATTAGGAAGAACTTCCTGACAGTTAGAACAGTTCCTCAGTGGAACAGGCTTCCTCGGGAGGTGGTGGGCTCTCCTTCTTTGCAGGTTTTCAAACAGAAGCTAGATGGCCATCTGACAGCAATGCTGATTGTGTGAACATAGGCAGATCATGAGAGGGAGGGCAGGAAGGGTTGCCTCAGTGCTTACTTCTTGTGGCCCTTTTTTACACGCCCATGGAAATGCTGATCACCACTTTGGGGTCAGGAAGCAATTTTTCTCCAGGCTAGTTTGGCCAGGGATCCTGGAGGTTTTTTGTCATCTTCTGGGTGTGGAACAGCAGCCACTGCAGGTGTGGAGGGGGAGGTATTTGTGAATTTCCTGCATTGTGTGGGGGGTTGGACTAGATGACCCTGGAGGTCCCTTCCAACTCTATGATTCTATGATTCTAACTTCAGTCATACAGTGAAGATCCTTGTGCTGTGCTGGCAGCTGCTGCCAAAGCAACATTTTAAAAAAATCTGCACAGAAAATTAAATCTCCAACAGTCAACCAGAAGCCCTGCTGGTCAAAAGAACCTACCTGGCTATGACAAACCCCTGTATCTCCCCAACTGTCTGGCAGATTTTTCCTGCCAAATCTTCAGTTCCCCTCAGTGACTGAGTTGCCCTACAGTAGTGTGTATGTCATTCACACATAAAGCAGGTTTCTTGCTATAAATACACAGGACAGGGACACTGAACCCTTATCTCAGCCAAATGTTACCTCCCCTCACTTATTTCTCCAAGTACTTTGCTTCCTTCCTTCTTCACTTCCATAACTGATGCCAATAAAGGAAAAATACCCAGAGAAACTGAATGTGGGAAGCTAAGACACAAGAAGGGAGAATGTTTACCATAAGGAAATAAGGTGGGGAAACATATTGTCTGGGAACCCTCCACTGTTAAAGTAGACTGTTCCTTACCCTCAGTCTTCTGTGTTACATATGAATGTGGTGGATACCCAAAGGATGGCCCTATGCCACTTAGTTCTGCCCATTTAGGAATGGGAAATGCAAGGTTGAGAACCAGTGTGGTGTAGTAGTTGGGAAGGATGGAATTTAGCACTAAGCTCGATCACAAATGTGAACAAAACATTTTCCTGATGTTCCTACTCACTTTCAACACTCTTCAGATAGGCCTACAGATCTTATACTGCCAACTTTCCAAACACTGTGACAAGCCTGAATTAATCATGCCAGTTAGGATACTTGAAAGAAAATAATATATTCCAAAGGGTTATAAAAATAGTCTTTAATGCAATCAAAGACTCTTGGTCAAAATGAAATTATTGTACTAAAAGTTCATAAAAGCAATCAGAGTCTGCTATGAGAAATATATTTGTGTTTTGGGGAAACAAAATCTGGCTCTTACCCTTTATAAATAAGATTAGAGGATGAAAAGGATAAATGTCAGCAAAGAATGTAATGCCATTATTGTTCTGTGTAAATATTAATTAAACTATTTGCTGCATAATTAAGCTGCAGCCTTCAGAGGCTCATGTTGATTACACTATATCAAAAAGGAGCAGTATCATGAATTTTAATTATTGTTAAAGACTACTCTAATGTGCTCTTTGATTATTCCAGTAAGCCTTTGATCCAAAAGGGAGAACCTAACAGCAAACAATCATAAGGGAAATTTGCTTGAAACCTAATTTCAGCTGAATTAGTTTGCTTCAGAGTTCTGTAAATGCCACCCATTAAAGTCCCCTTTGTGCTTTGCAGAATATGAAAGCTGCACTTTACGT